AGAAAAACAAATGGAAATACAAGCAAAATTGTGTAATATACCTTATCTTAGTCAATAATTGATTTTGATGTTTAAAATTAAGAAAAAAGGCAGCTTCCAAAAATGACACACAAACTCATTTTGAGGGTGTTTTGGATAAAACTGTAAGTAAAGTTTTTTATTATTGTTACTCATTTTTTTTTATTTTCCTATTTGAGGGTTGTCTTCTTATTTTTGGGCTCAAAATCGAGGCTTGATCTTGAAATGGTATAGGTTTGTGTATCAAATCTAATTTGAAGGTACACATTTGAGGAGATAAAAAAATACAGGTATAGTTTTTTAATAATTCTAAAATATAAGGAGAAGAAAAGGTAAATATCCCTTTTTTCTAATCATGATCGAGACTATAATTAAGGTTCCAAATCTAATTGTTTTATATATTCCTTTAAAAAAAATTTATTAGGTATATTCTATGTTCTTAAAAGCCTATTGCGCAAATAGCATTAATTCGATTAAGCACGAAGTACACTTATTTGAACAATAATTTTGGGGCGAAATTTCATAATACGATGCAGAAAATTTACTGTAACGTTACATGACGTAAACATAGGAATTAGGATACCAAATGTATAGTCCGTGAGAATTTGTATTCTAGAGGGCTAACCTACCAATTGGTAGGTGGGAGAAATCTCCATGCTAAAAACATGCATAATTGGTACGTAACATTGTGAAAGGTCTATAAATACAAGCTTTGTCATGGACATTTCTACACAAAAATCCCAAAACTAACAAAAAATGGAAGCTATTTCTTTAGTTACAGTGTTCCTCCTTTTCCTCTCCTTCACAACAAGAGGAGTCTCCGCCAGGCCCAGCCTTGGCGTTCTCCCTCCTGCAGTCGTTGATAGCTCGGGAAACGAACTCCTAAAGGGCAAATACTATGATTTGTTGGCTTGGCCTAATGCTCCAATTGCAACACTGTACGTCTCCACCATTTCACCACTCGTAGAAAGAAATGGAACCTGTTGGGTTCAACACAAAGTCGAATTATTTACGATCGCGACACCGAGTCTTCCGGTAAAATTCTTCCCTATCCCACCGGACCAAGAAGACGAAGTTATCCGAGAGTCCACATTTCTCAACATCCAATTCTCTGACGCCGCTGTATCACACGTATGTGGCGACTCATTGTGGAAGGTTATTAATCGTCCCGACCAAGTTTTCGGACAACAATTTGTGGTTGTTGGTGACAACTCGGGCTTCACCAGGCCCGGTTGGTTTAAATTTGAAAGAAACTCCGAACATCCTCGGCGTGATTACAAGCTTCTATGGTGCCCTGTCTATGTGTTGGATCAATCTGTGCGCTCATCAGATGATTGCCAAACCATTGGAATCTTTGCTGATAGCGATGGAATTGAGCGTCTGTCTCTGGCTGATACTTCGGTGCCATTTGCATTCAGGGCCTCCGCAGAACCACAGAGTGATCAGTACTTGAAAATGAGTACTTCTAATGCTTAATTTTCAAAATGAAACTTTGCTTCTTCCGTGTTGTAATGCATCTAATATCATTAGATTTAGATGCTAACTATGTATGTACCTAAAATAATGAATTACTAAATAAGGAAGAAGGTGGTCTTTTAGTGTTAAACTAAACATTATTGATGTGTGATATTTTGCAACTTTTGTACATTATTTACTTTTTTTTTTGGTTGATTGAAAATAGGAAAGAACGTATTTTAAAGCAAGATTCAAGACAATACAAACATCAAAATTGACTCGTACCAAAGTACAAGAAAAAAAATTATGATCCGAATGCTCAAGGGAAATAAACATATACGTATTAGGTTTTGAAATTAGGCACCTAAATAGGTACGTCAATGATCAAACCACTGAAAATAAAAAACGAGACAAACAAATCGCTAAATAAGGTTACGACCACTGTTAGTACAAGCAAATTTGAAAATACAAAGAAAAACTAGACAAAAATCCGTGCATAGTAATTAGGAACTCTAGCCATGAGATGACCGGCGAAATAAATTACTTTTGAGAAAGCATTAGACCTCAGGAGATGGAAAATGTTGTCAAAGTGTTGTAAATTCAATACAAATTGTGCAACTAAACATTTTTCGACGAATTAAATTAGGAGACTTTTTCTAAGAAAAACTTTTAGCTGGGGTAAAAATGAATGGAGCCTATCGGGCCAGTAGGGAGTGGTTGCGTCTATATTATATGCATCTACAGTTGACATTATTTACCGTCTGATTATATTGTTATATTTATCTGTGCTCGAACTCGACGAGTTCTAATTCAAAACGTTGTTAGCTTTACCCTATTCAAAAGAATCAAAACTGTTATTGGGATCAAAATTAAAAGCAACTGTTATTTTGGTAAGAGCATCTCCCAACACTGACCGTTGGATTTTCCATTACAGTTAATATGTTGTGAAAGCTTTGAGAGAGGTAATAGATAAAAATTTCTTATTTGTTTTATTTGGTTTGTTCCTGAACAAATTGCTTTTATTTATTTATTCCAATAAACAAAGAAGTGGAATGATTATTATTTCTGTTGCAATATAATAATTTAATTGATCGATTACGTAGATTTGATGAATTGTGTGATATTATCCAAAAGAAATATTATGAACATTTCTTCAATAGAAGAAAATCAAATTATATATGAATACGACATACACATTTTAGGCATGTTGTACGTAGATAAGCACTGACGGGCTCTATGTGCAATGAACTAGTTGGACCACTACTGACTTTGACACCTTATTATAGCTGTTGTCTTCTATATAGATGGATAAAATCTAACATTATTTTTTATACTATTAGTATTTAAAAGCGGCTAAATAAACAAAAAGTCATATTTACTTTTTGAGATAAAAATCAATGTTCAAAATCTACTTACTATCGATATGGTAATCTCTATTCTCATTCTTATCCTTACTAATATATATATATATATATATATATATAATATCTGTATATCTGTACATACATATAAAAGGAGAAAAGGTTTTTTGAGAGCATTAACGAAACGTTTTGTTAGTTCCTTTTTTTTTATATGTTTATTTACCTTCTACGTTCTTTCTTCTTTCTTTCATTCTTTCTTTAACTTTCCTCCCTTTCCCTATATCTCTTCTTTCTTTTTTTGTCTCCTCTTTTTTCATTTCTATCTCTTTTGTCTCATTGTACATTTTTCTTTTTTATTAATTCTTTTCTCTAAATTGACCCTCACAAATATATATATTTTTTAGTTCCCCATTTTTATTTTCATACCTCTTTTTCTCACGCACTTTTCTTTTTTTGTGTTCCTCTCTTTTCTTTTTTTTTTTCTTTTCATTCTTATCATTTTTGTCCTATTGTACCTTCTTTTCCTTCTTTTTTATTTTTCCAAATGAGATATTAATAAATATGTTTTTCATTCTTACCTACAGAATTTCACAGGCATACAGTCACGGTTTCAACTTGTATAATATAAAAGAGTGAAAGGAACCTATAGTTCGCTTTCCCTTACGTGGACTGAAGCAAACACCTTTAATCTGACGGCTAATATTGTCTTCTAATTTCTTCTTCTTCTTTTTCCTTTTTCAAACCCATTTAAATCATTTCGAATTGCAAAGGCAGTTTGAATGGTTGCTTGAGAGCACAAAAGATTGGAACGTAACTTGAATTAAAAAGAAAGTTCAAACTACTGCTAGTGTAAAAGTTGGAAATCACTCTCCCCTAAATTCATGCAGTTTTTATACTTGTACGGGGACGTGTAAGCATGACTCTGATCACTGCAAGGGCCAAAAACTTACGCACTGTTCAACGTTTTTTTACTTTCAACTTATGATGTACTGATTACCTTTGTGCATACACCTAAAATCATCAAAACTTGTTTCCCTAAGGATCATCATCATGCATGCATAATATAAGTCCTATTCTGTAGCCATTGGACGAGAATTGCTTTGGTAAAATCCTCATCATAAATGCTTTATTATTCAGCTACTTATTGACAAAGTAAATTTTTGGGACACCCCATATCTCATAATTTGTTTTTTACATCACATGGAATCTTGCTTCTGAATTAATCATATATTATTTATAGAAAAATGATATGTAGCTTCATTCCTACTCAAAGTTTACTCCTCTAGAATTGACGTTTGTCTGTGGATCACAATTTTTCTATTAAAAATTAAAAAAAAAAGTATTTTAGACTTATAAAATTTTAATACCTTATGATGGAATTAAAGTCCCCTTGGAACAAATAGTAGTGCATATACTTTCCAACTCTTTTTTAGGCCAATAAATATTTATGCTTTTTTTTAATCTTTTTTTTAAAATCTTTTTATCTCTTTTTTAAGTGATATTTATGCTTTTTTTTTTTACCGTAGTAATTCTACTATCCAACTCTTTTTTAGGCCAATAAATATTTTATTTATAGAGTGATGCTACATGCATCACCTTTTGCACTATTTTTTACACTACGTGACGTAGCAGCGTTTTTCTTTTTTCCTACTAAATAATAAATCACTATCAAGTATCATCTTCATTTAAATTTGTGGGTTCCTTCTTCAAATTTATGTCATGTGGCTAATTATATTTGGACATAGTATATACTACATGACATGATAACCAAAGAACGCTTGTTTAATCACAACTTGGACCACAGTGAAACATTCCTCTCAATAGGAAGGGGCTCCATATATATATACACATATATATTCTCATTGTAAGAAAAACCAAATGAAATCACTCTCACAGATGTAAATGCTAAAGCGATAGTATGCTCTCAAGCAATAATGCAGTAAGGAATACTCTATAAAAGTAATGAAATAAAACAACCTCTAACTACTGATTAAATGCACTAAACGACATAACTGTTGTCACCACAGATTTAATTATAACAACTACTTAAAGAGGAGATGTAATTGAATAAAAATTATGAACTTGAAGAACAAAGTGAATTAAACTAAAAGTTGAAGAACGCAAGCAAGTTAAATTCACTCTTTACTCTGTTTTACATTCGTTGTATCTCACTCACATAAGACGCGTCACTTATCTCACACTAAAAGAAAGCTAAGAAAATAAGAACTGAAAAGTTATTAAACACTGAATATGATTTTTTGAATTAACATTTCTTGAACAAAGAAAAATGCTTGGCACACCCCTCTATTTATAGTGTTTAAAGGATGTCTGAAAATTTCGAAATAACTAGCAAAATTGGAAAATAAAAATTGGGAAACAAGGAATTGAGAAATAAAATAAAATTACAAGTAAAAGTGGAAAAATCAAATATTTGATTGTGGGAGAAATTGGATTAATTTGGCTCTAATTGGAGACAAAATGGACAACTGCCACTAAAGAACTTCTGCATAGGAATGAGGCATGTCGCATGCGGATTGGAAGTTGCAAGCTGGTTCACCACATGGTGGCTAGCTGTTAGTTCAGATTGGCTCAGCTACTGCTCGAATCTGACTCAACTTGGTGCATGTTTTAATGAATTGAATGAATGGCTTTCATGGCCTTTTGTATTGCTTTTTTAGCAAATAAATAATCTAAAATTAGACATTTTTTTAATTAAAATATTTTGAATAAAAATCATGAAAATGTTCAAAATAAAAAAAAAAAGAAAAAAAAAACCTGGACCACTGTCCTTGACACCATATTATGTGTAATGTAGAAACTGGACCACTGCCCTTTCTACCAAAAAAAAAAAAAGAAAAGAAAAAAAAACCTGGATCACTATCCTTGACACCATATTGCGGCTTCATTCTTGATTTGTCATTTATGCATTAATAGTGACAATATATATCCATTAGTATGGGTCTAATTACTAGAAAACGTCCTTTTCGAAAACAAATTTTAAGATGAGGTTAATTAATGACTAAATATACCATAAAGAGAAAGTCATTTTGACCATTTGAGATTAAAATCAGCGTCCAATATCTAGCTATTATCGGAATCTGATTCTCATCATGATCTCGACCTCTAGTAAAGTAAAAGAGTGAAACAAACCCATGGCAATCATATTTTTCTTATTTGTTTTTTGAATGTTCCTCAACAAATTACTTTTATTTATTAATTCCAACAAAGAAAGAAGTGGAATGATTATTATTTCTGTTGCAATATAATAATTGCAACAACAATAATAATCATTCAGTACACGCCCTAGAATCATACAACATATTCGCCATCTCGACTTCTCTAAAAATTGTATTTTTAAAAGCGTGACTGTAGAAAATATACTCTGAAAACCTAAAAGGTGATATTTACCTAGCTATATATGTACACGATAGCGTGTAATATAGGGTCTTGGACTGTCTAGTATTCGTTAATGTGGAAATTTGTTATTTTGATTATTGTAATTATCTTTGTGATTATTTTCATTTTTAGATATTATAGTTGTCAATTAGGAGCTGTCATTCACACAAATTTATAGTTGTCAATAAGGGTTGTCACGTAAAATCCTGATTTGTGGACGTAAGCAAATTGCCGAACCACGTAAAATTATTTATTCTCCCTTTTGTTCTATTTTTGGTTCTTATTTTCAGAGTGGTATCATAGACGGCCATCAAACCATGCTGAAATCTGCTGTCAAACCACTGATCAAAGAGCCGTGCTTCCGAACCTGACTGATTCAAATTTAGCGGTTTATTATCACGCTATACTTTACTAATT